CTCGGAGGCTGCCGCGGGGGGTCCTCCTCCTCGTCCTCGTCCTCGTCCTCCTCCTCCTCCTCCTCGGCCTCCTCCGCCTCCGCCTTCGCCTCCTGATCCTCCTGCTCCTCCTCATTATCATTATCCTCGTCCTTCTCCTCCTCTTCTTATTATTGTTAGTATTATTCTTAGTGTTAGCAGTATGATCCGTATTGGAATGAGTGTTATTATTATTCTTTTTAATATGGCAGTATCTATAACTTATTCATAGTATTATTAGTGTAGTTAGTATTCGTGTGATTCATATAGTAGTAGTGCGATTGATTAGTATTATTAGTGTGAGTGTTGTTTTGTTTATATATTATAATGTGTTCGTCTTAAGATTATTATTAGTAGCATTCATGTTGTTAGTATTATTATCACTCGTACGTAATAGCAGCCTTATGTTTATGGATATGAATAATTTTGTAGCTAGTACCATTACGCTTATTAAGAACCATTTGTATGAATACGATTCGCATATAAATAAATATTATGATTAACTCTATTCCCTACCTAGGCTCTGCCTAGAAGGGTTCCTACTCGCTTGGTTTAAAGGGACCGGGCAGTGCACACCGCCTCGGGCGGTTCCCCCCGTCCCCTGGGAGCCAAGCAAAAGCAACAGCAAAGGTAAAAGCAAACGCGCGGCTACCCCAGTTGCGCTCCCTGGGTGCCAGCAAAAGCAAAAACAAAGGCAAAAGCAAAGGCAAGAGCAAAAGCAAAGGCAATGCAAAGCAAAAGCAAAACCAATGCGAAAGTGTAGATGTATATGTAAATGTAGGTGTAGGTGTAGATGTGGATGTAGCTGTAGATGTAGATGTAGATGTAGATGTAGGTGTAGATGGAGGTGTAGATGTAGATGTAGATGTTAGTCTTGCTGTTGATGTAGATGTAGATGTAGATGCAGGTGTAGATGTAGATGCAGTTGTAGGTGTAGATGTAGATTCAGGTCTAGATGTAGATGTAGGTGTCGATGTAGATGTAGGTGTAGATATAGATGTAGATGTAAAGAACTCCCCAGTGTCCCGCCCTCATCTCCGTGCCTGCTTGCTTTTGCTGCTGTCTCGGCGACTTGCTGTCTGCTTCTACTGCTGCTTCACTTACGGCGTGGCGTCGGCGGCTCTGGCGCTACTACTACTACTACTACTACTACTACTACTACTACTACTACTACTACTACTACTACTACTACTACTACTACTACTACTACTACTACTACTACTACTACTACTAACTACACTACTACTACGACTACTACTACTACGACTACTACTACTACTACTACTACTACTACTACTACTACTACTACTACGACTACTACTACTACTACTACTACTACTACTACTACTACTACTACTACTACTACTACTACTACTACTACTACTACTACTACTACTACTACTACTACTACTACTACTACTACTACTACTGACTACTACTACTACTACTACTACTACTACTACTACTACTACTACTACTAACTACTACTACTACTACTACTACTACTACTACTACTACTACTACTACTACTACTACTACTACTACTACTAGCACTACTACACTACTAGTACTACTACTATTACTACTACTACTACTACTACTACTACTACTACTACTACTACTACGACTACTACGACTACTACACTACTACTACTACTACTACTACTACTACTCTACTTCTACTTCTACTACTACTACTACTACTACTACTACTACTACTACTACTACTACTACTACTACTACTACTACTACTACTACGACTACTACTACTACTACCACCGCTACTGCTACAACTGCGACGATGAGGAGAAGGAGAAGGGCGTTTACCGCTCCTACTAGTGTTGCGTCCCTAGAGGCTCCAACTCCTAGGTAGGGTCGCACTGGGATAACTATTCTTCAACGGATTATTCTTCCTCGTATAACCATTATTGTTCATAGTAGTATCCCTCCTCCTGATCCTCCTCCTCCTCCTCTCTCCTCCTCTCTCCTCCTCCTCCTCCTCCTCCTCCTCCTCCTCTCCTCCTCCTCCTCCTCCTCCTCTTCCTCCTCCTTCTCATCTTCCTCCTCCTGCTTCTCCTCCTCCTCCTCCGCTTGCACCTCCTCCTCCTCCTCCTCCTCCCTCCTCCTCATCATCATCATCATCAGCATCATCATCATCATCATCATCATCATCATCATCATCATCATCATCATCATCATCATCTCATCATCATCATCATCATCATCATCATCCCCTCTCCTTCTCCTCCTCCCCTCCTCCTCCTCCTCCCTTCCCCTCTCCTCCTCCTCCTCCTCCTCCTCCTCCTCCTCCTCTCCTCCTTCTCGTCCTCCTCCCCTTCTCATCCGTATCCTCCTCCTCCTCCTCCTCCTCCTCCTCCTCCTCCTCCTTCCCCTCCTCCGCTTCCGTAGCCATTTTGGCTCAAGGCTGATGCTTTTGCGGGCTGAGCCCGCATTGGCCAAACTGGATACCGCTAGTCCGCGGCAGTCTTCATCCTTCACGGAGGTCCCTTCCTCAGTCTGCCCTGGGGATAGGGGTTCGCTAGCCTCCATTCCTGTCCTGCCATGGCGTGGCGTCGAAGTGCGCCGTGGCGCGCCGCTGGTGGCGAAGGGAAAGGCTCTTGGGTTTGGCAGCCTGAGAGTGCTGGCGGTCATCAGACGGGGCCCCGTGGCAAGAAGAAGGTCAAGGCAAAAGACAACTCGTACAAGGTCTGTTCTCTCTGCACGCACTGGGAATACTCTCGTCATGGACACCGCGCTTGCAGTCTGTGCGGTGGCCAATACCTTGATGGTTCTCGTCCTGGGCATGGCGATCTGGCTCATCAAGGTGGTCCTGGCGGAGGCGGACTCGGTGCTGCTTCTGCCCCTGGCGCCGCTACTGCCCCGATGCCGCCCCACCTTGTGCAGGAGTTGGAGCGCTGGGCTGTTCACTATCACGCCCTCGCAGGGGTGGCTCGCGATGCCGCCCCGCCTGCGCCTCCAGAGGTCCGTCTGTTTACGGCTTGTGAGCTGGATCAGATGGCCGCGCTCGAGCAGACGAGGCTTGCTCGTGAAGTGGAGGCCGCATCCAAGAACGAGAGATTGGCTGCCCAGGAAGTGCAATGGAGGTTGGACCGTTTCAACCGTGCAAAGGCTACGATGGAGGAGATGCAGAAGAATCACCTCATGGCGGAGCAGAACCTCGAGGTGGCTCGCCGCGAGACGCGAGAGGCCGACTCCAGGAAGTTGGCTTTCAGCGTCGAGAAGTTTAAGCAGTGCAAGATTGATGAGCAGCGCCGCGAAGCTGAGCGCCAGGCTCAGGCGGCCGCGGACGCAGGCCGCCTCGACGCTTCAGGCGGGGCTCGCGCCCCCCCCCGCCTGGCGGCGACGGCGGCCCCCAGCCTGCCGACGGCCCAGGCGCTGCAGGCGGGGTCTGCGCCCCCCCGCCTGGCGCGGCCTCGGCGGGCGGCGCGGCCGCCGCCGATGCTGACGTCGATATGGATGATGGTGCAGGCAATATCTCTTGGCTACGTGGCCGTCTCGTCGATTTCGTTTACGTGGAGTCCCGCCTGCATGAGTTCGACGATTCCATGCTCGAGCTACTGGTCCGCTACTCTGGCATCCAGCTCGAGAAGTGGCAACAGCATCGTCTCCACCTACAGCGCATGCGAGACGCTCAGCCCGACGATGCGTCTGAGTTGGGCAGTGAAGTTGGAGACGAGCTCGACCAAGTTGAACGTGACAAGTTCCGTGAGCTCAAGAAGAGAGCAGGTGAGGCTGGCTTGGGCGCGGCCGCAGCCAAAGACTACACCGATCTGTTGCAGAAGAGGCTCATGGCTAAGTCGGTCAAGCGTGCACGTACTTCCCAGGCCGTCACCTGCGACATGTACCGCACGTTCTGCACCGTCGCGGCCACCCGGATGGACAGGCAGGGAGGTGTTGGAGGCGCTGCTGTTGCACGTGCGGCTGCTGCCTCTGAGGCCGCCCAATCTTCTGCGCCGCCGCGTGTTTAGCAATGCTCCTCCGCCCCATGGGCGGCTGCTGCCCGACCAAGGAGAGGTCAAGTCCTTGATCTCTCCTGCTGTCGCCAAGCATGTGCATTTTAAGTTTGTGAATATAACTCAGTGGTCGAAGCTCACTCAGGACTTTCTGGCAGCTAAGGTTTCTGAGGTTGATGGAATATTCATGGCTGAACACCATGTCAGAGGGCCTGAATGTTTTCGAGCCAAGAAGGATTGCCGCCACATGAAGTGGTCACCCTACTTTCAGGAAGCCCTTGACTCGCCTGGAGGGAGAACTCACGGAGGGGTTGCTGCTGTCGCCCAGCCACGTCTCTGCTTTCGCAAGTTTCTTGCCCAAGCGCGAGGGGCTAAGCAAGTGGGTGCAGGAGAATGTTGGCTCTTTCTCGAATTGCGTCTGAAGGCGTGTACGGTAGCTGTTGGAGTCATCTACCTTGTGCCATCCATTGGAGTTTCTGGTGTGAACTCTTGTCGTCTGCGTGCGGTTGCTGAATTCGTTCGGGGTCTGTCTATCCCATGGTTCCTGATGGGCGATTTTAACATGTCGGTTGATTTCCTGGAGGATGCTGGAGTCCTGGAACTGATGTCCGCTCGAACCCTGGCCCCTGGCAACGTTGAGTTTACCTGTTCGGTTGGGGAAAACGATGATTGATTACGTCGTGTGCTCTCACCTGTTGTTCCCTTACCTCAAAGTGTCTGCCGACCTCCTGTCCCCATTCAAGACGCACGCGTGCTTGGACGTGATCTTGGACCTCGATGCCATGGTGGAGCCCCAGTGTATTCGCGTGAAGCCCCTGGAGGTTCCTGAGGCCCTGGGCCCTGACAATCACTGGCTCACCTATATGTCGGCGGCTCAAAGCCTTGGGGGCCCTGGCAAAGGCATCCTGGAGGCTCCCTTGGTCATGCCTGAGGACCTTTATGAGGCTATGTCTGATCATTCGAAGAAGTTCTTGTCTAGGAGTCTTGGGATGCAGTATCTTATTTGGT